GGGTCGATCTAAATGGGGCCAAAATACTGGACCCACCCGCTACCCTATGGGGTTACGGTGGACTCACGGTTACCCATACTGTTCATTTCAGTTTTCAATTTTTGCAATCACACCCCCACAGTTTCTGCAATTATTATATTTTACAGTTACACCCCCACAATCAACTACTCCAAATTCAATTCAATTCACCACAAAAGTTCAATTTAATTCAATTCAATTCACCACAAAAATTCACCAAATTGAATTATTAATTGATTTGAATGAGTGATAAGTAAAAGATATTTTCTCACTTCTTTAATTTTAAGTGAGCTCAAACATTTTTCACTTTCTTTTGTTGCAAATTGCAATGGATGTAAAATAATAAAGCATTTAAAATATAAAATCACTTGTAATTGACCTCAAACATGTATTTAAATATATTTATTACTGAATGAAAAGTTGATAAGATTAAGAGTATATTATTAGCTGCATTAGCTCATTTCATACAAGTTTGGTATTATAAATACATTACATTAAATAATAAAACCAACAACAGCCTTTGGACAGGCCAAGCAAAACCAACAACACAACCCAAGAGCAGCAGCTGAAAAAACCCAGACGCAGCACCTCAAAAACACCATGGGGAGGCCAGAAACAGTCTTCACACAACCACAAACCAGCTCACAGACCGCAGCAAACAAGACACCAGAACAGCCAGCAAAGAAACCACCCACCAAGGCCTTACGCCAGCAAAAAACAGAACAAACAGCCAGGAAAAAACTACCAAAAACCCAACAGCCCAGAAGAAGAGCCTACAGCAGGCAAGATCACCCAAAAAACCCACTATACCAACAAACAACATGGGGCAAGGACAGCAGCCAAAAAACGCCGAACTCAAAAGACCACAATACTCCAAAAACTGCCTCCTACTGCTAGGAAAGGAACCCACAACATCCCAAGGCAAACACAAACAAACAGACACCCAGAGAACATGCACAACACAACTGAGCGCCCAACCAACCAAAAACCAACGGAGAGGAAATCAAAGCCAAAGAGATCCTCTTGAAAAAATAAATTAATGAAGAAGCAGTGAAAGTGAGATTTAGATTAAGTAATCAGGTGGAGCCGGTAGGACATGATTGCAATTTGGGGTCTTAATCCTTAATTAGAATAAAAACAATATTGTAATAACCAACACACAGACCCAGTCTCCCCATAAGGTTGAAGAAAATGTCAATCATTACCTTTCTTGAATCATAATCTCGGACGGANATATTTGGGTGAAGGACGGGCGTCCATTATTAGTGGACGGCCGTCCAACATTAATGGATAGCCGTCCATAATGGATGGACGGCCGTCCCTAAGCTTTTACAAATTTTTTTTTTATTTTAATAGGGACGGGCGTCCATATTATATGGACGCCCGTCCATATTTGTGGACGGGCGTCCAAAATGGTTGGACGGCCGTCCATAATGGATGGACGGCCGTCCCTAAACTTTTACAATTTTTTTTATATTATTTTAATAGGGACGGGCGTCCATATTTGATGGACGGGCGTCCATATGAGTGAACGGCCGTCCAAATTTGATGGACGGCCGTTCACTAGAAAAAAATTATAAATAAATGGGAGAAGGCATTCCACGTCGGCCGGTACAAAAATTCGGTGTAAGAAATTCGGTGTCCGTAGTGTTGTTGTTTTAATAAAAAAAAATTCTAAACAAAAACCCATTCTTCTTCGTCTTCATTCCCCATCTCCTCTCTTTTTCTTCGTCTTCATTCCCTAAGTGTTTATGTTGCTCTTGTCCGAAATCACGCTGTTGTAGAAAGATCTCATGCAGCAGAGACCGTTGTGTCTGTGGGTTTCCTACATGCCCGGATTGCTCTTGTTGCCCATCTCCTCTCTTAGATGGGGAATGAAGACGAAAAAGAATGGGTTTTTGTTTGGAATACAGACACTGAGCCTTGTTGACTAATGGCTCTCACACTGCTTCTGAATTTGGAAAAAGAAAATTGATAAGTCTAATTATATGGCCCATTTCCGCATCTAAATTTCTGCATTCACTCAAAGTGAGCAAAAAAAAATTGGACAGTAAAAGCATTGAAAACAAAACAAAACAAAATAAAATAAAAAAAACTCATAATGTAGTATATTATAATCAGAATGGCATGGTGACAGTTGAAAGTTCCTTATGATATGCTAGAAGAATAGACAACATGGATTACAAGTGCAGCAGATCTTTTTACAACTGCAACAAAGGCGTAACGTTGAACATTTTGGGAACTTAGGGCATGCGCATTTCCATTGGCAAAAAGAGCAATCTAGGCAACATGAGCAATCCGGTAAACATGAGCAACTTGAGCAACAGGACCAGTCCGGGCAACAAGAGGAGCACTTCGGGCGACATGAACAGTCTGGGCAACACGAGGAGCACTTCGGGCGACATGAACAGTCTGGGCAACAAGATGAGCACTTCGGGTAACATGCACGGTCTGGGCAACACGAGGAGCACTTTGGGTGGCATGAGCAGTCCGGGAACCAAGAGGAGCAGTCTGGGCAACAAGAGGAGCAGTTTGGACAACAAGAAGAGCAGTTTGGGCAACAAGAGGAGCAGCTTGGGCAACAAGAGCAATCCGGGCACGTAGGAAACCCACAGACACAACAGTCTCTGCTGCATGAGGTCTTTCTACAACAGCGTGATTTCAGACAAGAGTAACATAAACACTTAAGGGAATGAAGACGAAGAAAAAGCAGAGGAGATGGGGAATGAAGACGAAGAAGAATGCGTTTTTGTTTAGAATTTTTTTTTTATTAAAAGTATGGACGGGCCGTCCAAATGTAAGAGATGAATGGACGCTGTCCAAAATTTATGGACAGTCGTCCCAAAGTTTTTTTAAGTTTTTTTTTTATATTTGGGTCAAGGATGGGGCGTCCATTATTTGTGGGTGTCTGTCTAAAAGTAATGGACGGTCTATCCATAATAGATGGACGGTCGTCCCTAATATTTTATAAATTTTTTTATTATATTTTATTTATAGAAGGACGTCTTTTAAATGGGGATGCCCATCCCTAGTATATGAAACCTCGTCCATATAATATGGATGGGAGTTCATGTGAGTGAACGGTCTTCTATATTTGATGGACGACCGTTCACTAGAAAAAAATTGATAGAAAAATTAGGCGTTTGGTACATGTAGGCCGGTACATATTTTCGGTGTAAATTTTTCGGTGTCCGTAGCTTTGTTGTTGTTGTTTTTATTGTTCCTATTTGATTAAATTGTCCTGAAATGACGTTTATGCCCCTAGACCGTCTAATACCCTTGCTAACCTCCATTATCTGATAGGGGTAACAGTACCACGTTCCAAAAATACTGGATTAAAAGAGTATATCTTCAACAATTATAGATGAATATGGTATTGTCCCGAGAAACTAGTAATATGTTGTTTGGGTTTAGGCAGGTTTTATGTTTTACAAATACAACCCCTTCTTCAACTTCAATGCTTCTTCGCCAACACCTTACAACTCTCACTCGCCAATGTCGCCATCTCTCCACTTCCTCTTCATCCACCAAAATCCCACTTCTCTACACGCACACAAATGATAACCAAAACGACGCTGTCACTCTCCAACTCCTCTCGTGGGGGAGAGGCGCTTCAGGCCAGTTGGGCGGTGGCATTGAAGAAGTGAGACTCTACCCAGCCCCAGTTGCAAACCTCTGTCTTTCTCTACCCTTTACCATCTCCCAAACTACCGATCGACTTGTTCAGAAAGATTCTGAAGTGGTTTCGGGTTCTAGTTTGAATATTTCATGTGGGTTGTTTCATAGTGGGTTGGTTGTGGATGGAAAGCTGTGGGTTTGGGGGAAAGGAGATGGTGGGAGACTTGGTTTTGGGCATGAAAATTCTGTTTTTGTGCTTAGTTTGAACCCTTATTTGGGTGATGATCCTGTTCAGTGTGTTGCTCTTGGTGGAGTTCATTCTGTTGCTTTGACTTCACTTGGGAAGATTTTCACTTGGTCAGTGAGCAATTAACAACTCTACATTCATTATTTGTTCATTGATTGAGTGTTTGTTTGGTGTGAAGGTTTAAACATCGGTTGCTTAGGCATAAATTAGCAAGCTTATTGAGTTATTAGAAGTGTATGTATGGTTGAGTAATCATAGGTTAAAAAGGGCTTTTTTAGAAGTAAATTAGCAAAAAGGCATACAAAAGCAATCACTTTTATTTATGATTTGCAACAAGATGTTGTTTTGTTTGGAGTCCATAGAAATTATTGATCTTAAATTTGGGGTGATGAATCTTGCAGGGGTAATTGTGATACTCTAACCCAAAAATTTTTGGGTATGGTAATTTAATATTTTTAAAAGAGCTTATTGGAGAAGTTAGTTGACATGACATAGCACTCTCCTTGAATTGCAACCAAAGGACTAATAAAACAGAAAGCAAAAGAGCTTTTATCAATTTATGGAATCGGATTTGATCAACAGAGCATTTTTCCTTTCTTATTTAGTAAAATGGAGATGCTGAAGCAACTAAGTGTTGTTATTCAAGATTTAGAATATAACTACGTCAGTTTAACTGGTTGGCCTGATAATTAATGATGTGCTTGTGCTTGATTGGATAAATATCAGGAGAAGAGAGTTGTGTGCACATATTCATCACATTGTTGTGTTCACTAATGTGTTTTTAGCCTGAAAATACAATGGCTCTATCATTAAAAGTTTGCAGGGGTTATGGTGGTTTTGGTGCACTTGGACATTCTGTCTATCATAGAGAGTTGTTTCCTAGATTGGTGGAAGGTTCTTGGAATGGGAAAATACAGCACATCGCAACCAGTGGGACACATACGGCTGCAATAACCGAATCAGGTTGTTCTTCTTAACTGACACTGTTTTTTGTATGGAAATTTCTTTACATGTATATACTATTGGGTTTGCATTTTAGATATAGGCTGCTTAGCCTGGACTAAATTTATATGAGTTTTGATTTGCGACCTTCGGAAACAGCCCTCTTGAACTCATAATGTGGAAAACATATCAATCTAGTACTGCAGAACAAATTGAATGGAACATATTTCAAATGTCTGTAGGTTTATGTATTCATGCATTTATGGGTTTCTAGTTGTTCTTTATGAGAAGATGATTCATATTGCCTTCATATTTGTTACAGAAAGAATAAAGAAAGAGGGTTGTCAAATATCTTAATCCATCCATTATTGAATATAGGGGAACTTTACACGTGGGGTCGAGATGAAGGAGATGGAAGACTAGGCCTTGGTCCTGGTCGAGGCCCTAATGAGGGAGGAGGATTTAGTATCCCTTCTAAGGTCAAAGCATTACCTGTATCTGTGGCTGTTGTTTCTTGTGGTGGCTTTTTTACAACAGTGCTGACAGAGGAAGGGCAACTTTGGAATTGGGGAGGTAAAGATATCAACTCTTTTGTCTTTTTTGCTCTCCCTATCTCTACCCAATTGCAGTTTAGTTACTTTCAGTATAGTTACAGATAAATGGAATAGTTGCACAATTCTGGATATCACTCTCTTAAGTTTTCAACTTTGATGAAATTCCATTTATCTCTGCTTGTGTAACATTACAATGACATCATATTATACATTGTCTTGTGTTCTGCTCAGCAAGTTCTAACTATGAGCTTGGAAGAGGTGATAAGGTTGGTGGTTGGAGACCCAAGCCAATTCCTAGCCTTGAAGGTGTTCGTATCATTCAGATAGCAAGTGGTGGCTATCGCTCCCTTGCATTAACTGGTAAAATAATTGCTTAAATTCACGATTGCCACGACAACCTTATTAAATCCATTCCTCACTTGTCACCCTCTCCTTCCTATTCTAGGCTGTATACTAATATTGTTTTTCATTTTTTATGTATAATTTCAGATGAAGGCAAAGTTCTTTCTTGGGGATATGGTGGACATGGTCAGTTGGGTCATTCTTCAACTGAAAATCAGAAAGTACCTGTGGTGATCGAGGCTTTAGCCTATGAGCGTGTAGTCTACATCGCTTGTGGGGGCTCATCCTCAGCAGCCATAACAGGTAAGAAGAGTTAAATGGTCCTTGATATTTCCATCACCCTTCAATCCTACAATCTTCCAAAGTATCTATATTTATCCGATCTCATAATAGCACAGAAATGAGGTTTGAGGATATCTTTTAGTATTCAACTAAGTTGAAAGATACTTAAATTTAATAAAATCAAATATTTGGATATCATTATAGAACAATAATTTTATATGCAAATCAAATAAATAAAATTCATGATTATATATTTGTTTTTACCATATTGTTTGATAATTTGCTATATATTCAGATAAAGGGAAGTTGTACATGTGGGGAAATGCCAAAGATTCTCAATTGGGAGTTCCTGGGTTGCCATAGGTACAACTGTGTCCTGTTGAAGTCAAGTTTCTAATGGAGGATGATGGATTGGGATCCCACAAGGTGTTATCTGTTGCAGTTGGTGCATCTCATGCCATGTGTTTGGTTTCAAGGTCATGTTGTTAAAGATGGTCTACTAATCGAAAGGTTTTCTCAACTCATATAGAAACGACCAACAAGTATGTATCGTCTAACAGCTCAAACAGAGGCTAGAACAGATGTGTAGAATCTGAGGATAGGATAAGTTCTTTAAGTTACTAAAATATTGCCAAAGCATTTAAGAGGTGAATTCAGGTTGCTAACTAGTTAGTCAATAAGTGGAGCTTCACCTTGACAATTGCTGACTCATAACTGGTTTTGTTTGAATCCCTTTAATGAATTAAATTATCTGGAAAGACTAGAGAATTTTGACATTATATGCTCTTGTCACAAATGCAAGTTACCTTCATAATCTCATGTAATGCCTGTTGTTCCCTCTTGTTGTATGCATCATCTCATTACATATTAGTTTATTGACATTCCTTTTTGTTGAAAGTTTATTGCAAACATGACTACTTTTTCCTTTTAATGTTGATCATATTGCTCAGTTGCTTTTATCTGAAATCGGCATGAGAAAGATCTGCGATGAAATTTTTATAAGAAAGCATGCAAATAAATTATGTTTGCTCAGGTGCATTTGATGCTCTGCTACGAATATCCATTGGTTTTGTTGTATGATCTTTGATGCTCTGGAACTGTGGACAATATTATAAAATGATAAATTTAAAGTTGGGTATATTTTCGGGAAAAAATATAGAATATCACAAGATATCATGTCAATCATGTCACAAGTCCATGTATATACGTTGTGTGAGAAATTTTTTTCTTTACCATCCATTTTTATAATCACTGAGATCGGTAATTAAACTAAATATCTATGTAGTATGCATATATTGATTTGTGATATCATTAATGCGGTATCCCATTGTAACATAAACTTTTTCGTTCTTGAAGAAGTTAGGGTAGAATTCGCCTCAATGTTGGCAGATCTCATAGAAGTTAAGCCAGCTAAATAGACTATCACATTGCTGGAGAACATCAATTCACACAAAACTTATGTGATTTAAACTTTTTGTCTCCTCATCTCTCTTAACTAGAATTATATAAATATTGAGCGAATTTATGATACAACAACTCACATATACCGCATGATCATCCAAGAAGTAAATATTTCATGTCATTTATGCACATCATAAATTCAGTAATTTGTTATACAGATGATGTGATACGACTCATATTCTAAGATTTTTCAACCAGCTATTCTTACAAAATTCTCTGGTACAATCAAGAAAGCTTAAAGCAAGAGAAAATATAACCAAGAAAGAGTTATCACCAGAAAAACCAGAAGCAAAAACGAGTTCCAACTGCTGATTTTGCAAAGCGGCTGTTGGATCGAGGTGGTCGGTTCTCAATCACAGTTCTTGTCATCATGAAAACAATTGATGGCTCTTCTGATCACACTTGATCACTTCCAGCTTTTGATACTCAAATAAGGTTCATTAATCTTCCTTATGTAGACCCTCCTTCACTGGAAAAATCTAAAGTTTCCAGCGAAAAACTTGTGACTGATCATAGAGGGAGTTACAAACCTCATGTTAAAGAAGCGATTATTAAGAACGTTCTTTCAAACACTAACTCAGCTCCACTTGCTGGGTTGGTGTTTGATATGTTTTGTTCATCAATTGTAGATGTGGGAAATGAACTTGGTGTTTCTTCTTATTTGTTCTTCACTTGTAATGCAGATTTTCTTGGTCTCATGTTGTACCTTCCAGGTCGAGATGATGAAGTTGAAAAGAGTTTGAAGAGTTTGATTCTGATTATATAATTCCTGGTTATGTTAATCCAATTCCTAGCTGAATTTTTCCTTTGTTTTTGTTTAACAAGTATGGTGGTTATGATACATTTGTGAAGCATGGAAGAAGATTCAAGGAGACCAAAGGGATTATTGTCAACAATTACACAGAGCTAGAGGCTCATGCTGTTAAGTGTTTGTTGAATGATTTTGAAGACGATAATTTACATCATGTTTACACAGTTGGGCCGCTTATTTATGTGAAGGGGGAGAGTGTTATGTTTCGGTGATGATTGAGAAAGAGATGAGATCATGGAATGGCTTGATGATCAACCTGATTCATCGGTTGTTTTCTTGTGCTTTTGAGGCCTGGGGAGCTTTGATGAAGAGCAAGTGAAAGAAATAGCACTCGGGCTGGAGCAATGTGGTGACAGATTCTTGTGGTCTTTACGCAAGCCGCCACCAAAGGATAAATTTGAAGGGCCTAGTGATTACAAAGGTGATCTCCAGGAAGTATTGCCAAAGGTGAGAAAACAAATAAGACTGGTTTGGTATATGGATGGACACCACAAAAGGAAGTGTTGGCTCATAAATCAGTAGGAGCATTTGTTTCACATTGTGGGTGGAATTCAATCTTGGAAAGCTTGTGGTTTGGTGTTCCAACTGTGACATGGCCTATGTATGTTGAGCAACAGATTAATGCATTTCAAATGGTGAGAGAATTGGGATTGGGCGTGGAGTTGAGATTGCATTATAGGATCATAAATGGGGAAGTTGTGGTTGCAGATGAGATAGCAAGAGCTATCAAATGTGTGATGGAGAGTGATAATGAGGTGAGGAAGAAGGTTAAAGAGAAGAGTGAAAAGAGCAGATTAGCAGTAATGGAGGGTGGATCTTCATATGCTGCACTTGGAGACTTGATTGATGATATATTAAGAAATAAAGCCATGAAAGAAGCATGTAGTTAATCATATTTACTCCCTGATGATGTATGGATTTGTTCCATTTGCCTTGAGAGTTTTATGTTGAAAGTTCATCTTGAATCTTTTTGTTTACTATTGGTATTTTACTCCATTTAAGATTTCTCATAGGTTTATGTTCAGTTGATTTCAACTCGCATCATAAGTATGTGACTTCAAATCACAACAACGTATTTCATTCAAGCAAAACAGGGATAAGGATATAATCTTGATTCTTTTCCCCCCTCCAAGCAGCTCACTATCCGCAACATTTGAAGCGTCCAAGCAACACCAAGCCAAGCCCCACCCACCCCTTCTTCTTCCCCGGGGTGAGACAGAGCCCCCTAACAATAAAGCCAAAAAAAAGAAAAAGTATTCTTCTACTTTCTCTCTTTCAGTTTCACTAATCATACCACCACCAACAATGAAGAAAGCTGAATTTGCTGGCATCCCTGCACCAGGAGTAGGCCACCTGGTTTCCAATATCGAGTTTGCAAAGCGTTTGTTACATAGAGATGATCGTTTCTAAGTCACTGTTCTTCTCATGGATTCTCCTGTTGGCAGCTCTCTTTTAGCTGCATACATCAAACCACTTGCAGAGTCTTAATTCTTCAATAAGATTTATCAGTCTTCCTCTTCCTCCAGACTTCTCTCCTTTCTACCACGGGCTCATAAATCTGTTGCAAAATTTATGACAAGTCATAAAGCTTGTGTTAAAGAAGCCATTGTCAAGAATGTTCTTTCGAACTCTAACTCAGCCCCACTTGCTGGATTTGTCGTTGATTTCTTTTGCACATCAATAATAGATGACGGAAATGAACTTGGTGTTCCTTCTTATTTCTTCTTCTCTTCTAGTGCGGCGTTTCTTGGCCTTCTGTTAAGCCTTCCGGTTAGACATGATCAGGGAGGCAGAGAATTTGAAGAGTTTGATGCTGAATTTGAGTTCACTAGTTATGTCAATCCAGTTCCTAGCTGAATTTGATGGTGACTACCCTTCATTTCTCAACCATGGAAGAAGATTCAAGGACACAAAAGGGTTCGAAGAGACACAGATTTTACTAGTTCATTGGAACAATCAATACTGATCCCACAATACTGAAAAATCAGAAAAATAAATTAGTTAATTAATTTAAAAAATAAATGTTTAAACTTGAAAATACCTAAGACCTTTGGTTAATTCAATATATTATCTTCTAGAAATTACTAAATTAATGTTTAAAATTGACATTAATTGTCTTGAAGAAAACTAAGAGTTTCCCTCAAATTCTAAAAGATATATACATATTAAATAGATTAACTTAGATGAATTTTTGAACCATTGATCCATGATAATCCAACCTTTAGAAGTTGATGAGTTTGGCAATAATTATGGAAATGAATAGTCCATGATCTTTTTTATATATAAATATAAGAATATTAGTATCAAAATATTATTGTTATTTGCAGCAATATGGAGAAAATAAGAGTAGAAATTCCATTCAAACAGATTTTAAGAGATTCATTGCAGCAGCTTAATATTGCTCCTCCAACGTTTTCGATTGAAAGCAAAGGACCTGACGATGCAAAACAATATCGAGGTTCTGTTGAAATATTTGATCGTAGAAATAAAGTTAGGAGCCATTTCGAAGGGTCATGGAGAAGGAGACTCTGAATGCAGTTTCAAAACAAGCATTGGAATATTTGCAAAATGTTGAAATGATTGAAGTAATTGATGTGAATTTTGATAGAGTTGTTAGCCTGCAAGAGAAATGTGAAGATAGAGGGAAAATTATACAAATTTTAACCAAAGTCATGAATAACGAATGTGCAGAAGAAATATGCAAGGTGAAGCACAATGCATAATGTTTAAGAATTTGAGTAATGCATTTTATATCTTTGCCTCTTTTTTTTTTTTTTTTTTTTTTTTAATTTTCTTCTTTTGAGGTTTGATAAATAGAATCTTGAAGAAGTTTATTTAATAATGAAATTATATATACGAAGTGAGCGGCTAAAATGAGAAACCAATATAAGAAACCAGGATACTTTTTTGTTGTGTCACTCTAAAGTTACAACTGAACTCAAACTTAAAACCTCTTAAATAATATACTCAAGAGTCGTTATCAGACCACTCAATCATTTAGGAGTGGTTAGAAATCAGGATTCTGTCATTTATTAATCTGATTATATTAGCTAATATATATATCTCATTAACACATAGAGATTGTAAGATCCGTAAAAATTCATATTAGAAGAGGATTAGAATTTGATCATATAAATAATATATATGTGAATGTGTAAAAATTTGGATCAATAGTGGATCCAGTCATAATATACCATAGAAGTAAAATAAAAATGCATAACTTCCCAAGTAGAGTTCTTCTCCTAAATGAGGAGTCCCATACCAGCTACAATTACTGTTGCCCATGGTCTAGATGCTGTCATGAAAACTGGACCTTTTTCCCTTATAACCAATGTTTGTAAATACACTGTGATTCCAAATATTACAAAAAATTAATTAATCAAATGTCATAAACTATCAAGTTATTGATTCGATAACGTTATAGCTAGTGTCGGTATTAGTTTATTACTAAGAAAGCAATGTCAGGCTTGGTTAAGGTTAAGTATTGAAGAGCACCTACTGTGCTTCTATATAAGGCAAGTGTGTCAAAACTCCTCACTATCTACAGTAGCAAGTTCACTCTTAGAATTGTAGATAAACAAGCTAAAATAAGCTACTGAATTCACAAAACTCCATTAAAAAGGCTGTTTTCAGTTTATCAAACCAAGCCCAAGGGATTGTCTCAACCCATATAAAGCTTTATTTAGTTTGCACACATAACCTAGCTAAATGGAGTACGTGAAACCTTCAGGCTCATCAAACTTTACACTTTGCCATTTGCATTTAAGCACTTGCAACCCTTATAAACAGAACTATAACCTACAAATACACATTTAGAAGTATGAAAATTAAATTTATGTGCACTATAAGGCCTGAGGAAAGGGTAACAAGCACAACCAAATGTTTTTAAAAGTTTATAGTTGGAAACAATGTTAAAAAGTGTTTGAAACGATGAGATATTGGTTATCACAAAAAAAAGGTACCCTATTTATTAAGAATACAATAGTTTGAAAAGTTAAATTCCAGTAAGATAATGGCATGGAAGCTTGTTAGACCCTATTTTACAATATGCCTATGATTTCTCTTATGAAACTCCCCACCACCATCAGTTTGAAGGCACTTCAATTTGGTTTCAAATTGTGTTTCCACTAACTTATGAAATTGAACAAACACAGACTTTGTTTTAGCTTTATTTTTGGAGGGAAAAGCCAAGTGAGTCTGCTAAAGTCATCTATGAAATGCATATAGTATTTATAACCTTCAATGGACACTTGTGGAGAGGGGCCTCATAGGTTAGAATGAATTAGTTCAAGAGGCTTGGAAGCTCCACTAGAAGAATATGAAAAAATAGATTGTGTGATCCGTGAGGTTTTGGAACAATCGAAAAATTGAGAGAGAATTCAAGAATATTGCAAAGCTATTTCTTTGATTTCTTGATTGATTACAGCTGGCCACTACACCTCTGTTTTATATGTGTACAGTAGAGTAAGTTCAAGACTAAAGTAAAGAGAAGAATTTGACTTAGGCTAACTAATTAAAACACTAGTAAAAAGCGACAGCATATAAAGTATCAAATCACATCTTCTTCAGTGTGTCAATCTGAACTGTTAATCCTCAACTACTACACAAACTCAAGATAGGAACTTCACTTCACTAAACCAACAGTACCAACTTCAGTTTATCAACAGCTCCACCTTATCTACTACACAAACTCAATGAAAGGAACTTCACTTCAGTAAACCATCAGCAACAGCTTAAAAGGAACTTCACTTCAGTAAACCAAACAGTATCAGCTTCAGTTTATCAACAGCTCAATTCTGCTTCAGTATGCCAACATCAACAATAGCAAATTATCAACAACTTTCACTTTCAATTTAACTATATAACAACCAGAAACCAAAAAAAAAAAAAAAAAAAAAAAAAAAAAAAAAAAAAAAAAAAAAAAAAAAAAAAAAACTTCACTTCAGTATACTAACAGCAACAACTTCAGTTGTGGAGAGGGGCCTCAAAGGTTAAAATAAATTATAGAGGCTTGGAAGTCCACTAGAAGATATGGAAAAATAGATTGTGCAATTACCAAATTGACATGCTAAGCAAAATGGCAAAGACTTAACAAGGTTTATTATGCATTTAATTGTGCAAACACAGTGCTCAAAACTTGTTCATTGTGGGGTCCAAGTCTCTTATGTCATAGCATTGCTTTTAACTTGTCAGTACACAAAGCTTGACGGCTAAAAACATAAGTTTTCAAGTTAAAAGCTTGACGGCTAACAACATAAAGTTTATTGATAGAACAATTAAGTACAGATGACATACATGGAGCTGTATTGAACACAGTTTTACACTTTGACCCTAAATTCTCACTCCTAAGAGAAGCATTACATTCTTAAGTATTAAGAGAAACATCAGAATTTTCATATGTAGCAACATTTAAAACAGTTGAGCAAGAATATTTAAAAAAATCAGTAGATGACACTGCAAACAGCAAGCATCAGAGGAAAGAGAAGACTGAAGTTAGCCTTAGTATGGATAGTAGAAGCTGGAACAAGAGGAGGAGATAGAGGGAATCTTTAGTTGGTACAAACCAACTTTAAGCTCCCCTTGTAACAACACTATCTTGGTGACTTTGTCCTTGATCATATAATGATCAGCAAGGAATTCAACTACACAATTATTATCCTTTGTAAATTTTGAAATTCTTAGCAAATTTTTAGAAATATGAGGAACACCAAGAACATTTTTAAGATAAAAGAACATAGATTTCAAAGCACTTGGTAAAGAAGTAAAACCTGTATGAGAAATGTTCAAACGCTCACAATTCCCAACTTGAGTTTGATCCTGGCCAGTGTAGCTTGCATTTACAAACAACTGACTCAAATCTGTTGTGACACGATCAGTGGCTCTTGACTTGATGTACCAAACTGGTTCTCTGACTGTAGCTGAAGCAGTTGTTGCATAATTATTAGAAACATTGTGAGTAGACAAAGAGACTTGAATTGAGGAATTATAACCTTGAATTGGAGAAACTTGATGTGAAATCATAGCTTGTGAGACATTGCATGCTTGAACAGCCATATTAGGTTGAGGAGAACTGCAGTATGGCTTGACTTACCACATGGTAAATAGGCTTGTTTCTATAATTAGAACCTCTACCATAATCTCTTCCTCCTCCTGAAAATTGATTAGACTGAAATTGCTTAGAATATTGAGGAACAAAATTCACATGCTGAGCTAAAAGAGCTAAGTGAGAGGTAGGATTAAAGTATTGAAATTGGGAGTTTGCTGAGGTACTAAGTACTATGGAACAGGATTATAGCCAGCAACACTAACACCTTTATGACCAAAACTAGGACTATAGTCCGCATCTGTGGCACCTTGATGATTAACAACATTATCATTTGATTTCTGGTTCTTATTCTAACCAAACTTATAATTGACATATACTGCTAAACTAACCAAATTCACCGAATCTTCATTGAAGTCTAAACTAATAGCAGCTGATAGCAAAGCATTATTCTTTTCTAATTGTAACTCATACTAACAAATATTGTGCCTTTTGCAATGATATTCTTCCAAAGCTAGAAGTAATGTTAACTACCACAACAACGAACTCAGGAAAACAACTTTAAGCTCCCTTGTAACAACACTATCTTGGTGACTTTGTCCTTGATCATATAATGATCAGCAAGGAATTCAACTACACAATTATTATCCTTGCTAGAAGAATATGGAGAAATAGATTGTGCAATCTACCAAATTGACATGCTAAGCAAAATGGCAAAGACTTAACAAGGTTTTTTTATACATTTAATTGTGCAAACACAGTGCTCAAAACTTGTTCATTGGGGGGTCCAAGTCTCTTATGTCATAGCATTGCTTTTTACTTGTCAGTACACAAAGCTTGACGGCTAAAAACATAATTTTTATTGATAGAACAATTAAGTGCAGATGACGTACATGGAGCTGTATTGAACACAGTTTTACACTTTGACTCTAAATTCTCATTTCTGAAAGAAGCTTTGCATTTTAACATATTATGAGAAACATCAGAATTTTTACATGTAGCAACATTGAAAACAGTTGGGCAAGAATGTTTAGAAAAATCATTAGATGGCACATTCTGCAAACAGCAAGCATCAGAGGAAAGAGAAGACTGAAGTGAGCCTGAGTATGGATAGTAGAAGCTGGAACAAGAGGAGGAGATAGAGGGAATCTTTAGTTGGTGCAAACCAACTTTAAGCTCCCCTTGTAACAACACTATCTTGGTGACTTTGTCCTTGATCATATAATGAGCAGCAAGGAATTCAACCACAAAATTATTATCCTTTGTAAATTTTGAAATCCTTATCAAATTTTTAGAAATATGAGGAACACAGAGAACATTTTAATATAAAAGAACATAGAATTCAAAGCACTTGGCAAAGTTGTAAAACCCGTATGAGAAATGTTCAGACGCTCACAATTCCCCACTTGAGTTTGATCCTGGCTAGTGTAACTTGCATTAACAAACAACTGACTTAAATCTGTTATGACATGATCAATGGCTCTTGACTTAATGTACCAAACTGGTTCTCTGACTGTAGCTGAAGTAGTTGTTGCATAACCATTAGAAACATTGTGAGTAGACAAAGAGGCTTGAATTGAGGAATTATAACCTTGAGCTGGAGAAACTTGATGTGAAATCATAGCTGGTGAGACATTGCATGCTTGAACAGCCATATTAGTTTGAGGAGAATTGCAGTATGGCTTGACTTACCACATGGTAAATAGGCTTGTTTCTATTAGAACCTCTACCATGATCTCTTCCTCCTCCTGAAAACTGATTAGACTGAAAGTGCTGAGAATATTGAGGAACAAAATTCACACGCTGAGCTACAGGAGGTAAGAGAGAGGTAGGATTAAAGTATTGAAATTGGGAGTTTGTTGAGGACTATAGTCCGCATCAGTGGCACCTTGATGATTAACAACATTATCTTTTGATTTCTGGTTCTTATTCTAACCAAACTTATAATTGACATTTACTGCTAAACTAACCAAATTCGCCAAATCTCCATTGAAGTCTAAACTAATAGCAACTGATAGCAAAGCATTATTCTTTTCTAATTGTAACTCATACTTTTGTAACAAATATTGTGCCTTCTGCAAATGATAGACTTCCAAATCTAGAAGTAATGTTAACTACCACAACAACGAACTCAGGACAAATCCAGTATGTAATTCAAAAAATCCTCATCAGTTATCACACAACCACTAGCAGGTAGTACATCATCAACATATTGTTTCATTTTTAGCATGTATTCACTCCTGGTTAGGTTTTCTTTCCTAGTAGATTGTAATAAGCTCCTAATACGTAGAGTTTTAGCTTTAGTCTCCGAAACAAATTCTTCTTCAAGTGTAAGCCAAATTTTAGAAGCTAATTGACATTTAGAAACTAGCCTAAATATCGATTCAGAGATAGAAGCAGAAAGTCAACTCACTAGACATTTGTCGATTCTCTTCCATAACGAATATTTAGGATCGACCTTCTTCATCATTGCACCAGTGGAAAATCCTCAAACCAGTGATGTGATCTTCAAGCTCTGAGCCGACAACAAATAAAATCAGAGATCTCCAAAATCGATAGTTGTCACGATGCAATTTGGGGTAATTAATTGCAATGTGGAAGAGAATAAATTGTCTGAGATGGAGTCGAAGATCAGAGTAAAATTTAGCGTTTTCTCAGAATGGTTTGGAGGGGAAGAAAATAACCCAGAATTTTCCCTTTTGTTGGGTTAGGGTGCAAATTGACTTTAGGCTATTAAAGGCCTTTGAGAACAATTCTAGGAAGTGATCGCCATGTGTTAGTACTCTGTCCAGTATTATTTAACAACTAAAATTATTACTAATTTGATTAATATTTTTTTCTAGGCCCAAATTGCTGTTTATACTAGGCCAGCCCAACCGGAATAATAAATTGTGATGGGTTGGCACTGCCACAATTCTGTAATTCGAGGCACAACATGAATGGGTCGTGCCAAGCTCAAGCCCAAGCACGAATGGGCTAGCACAAAAATTGGTTTGGGCTTGCATTAGAAACTTCAATTTCAAGTTTTTTACCACGAAAATAGCTACATTAATAATTTTTTTTCCCTTTCTTATTCAAGTAATTTTTTAAACTAGGTGTAAAGCTCGCGTCGCGTGAGTATGTTTATTACTTATATTTGAAACACTTCGCAAACAACATTATATTAATGATAAATGCTAATTATATTAATCCACAAATACAATATTATGTTTATTAAGTTGTTAATAGTACATCAATTCAAGAATGTAAAAAAACTCTTTGGACAACGCGAAAGTAAATTGTAATAGATCAATGGATTTCTTAAAGATAATAATAATATCCAATGTCATTTTCATGTAATTTTATATTTCTTAAGTACTTAATGTGTTTGATTAGTAAGAACCGTTTTTTATTTTCATTTAAGATATAGTTTGACAACTTGTTTATTGCAATTAACAATTGTTCAACATACTTTTTAAAAGGTAATATTAACGGTGATTGGTGGATTTGTTAAAGATAAAAATAATATGAGATGTCATTATTAGATAACAAGAATCATTTTACTTTTCATTTTGAGTTATGGTTCGACAACTATAGAGGTGAGAATGGCTGCATAGGTAGCAAGTAGAACCAGAACTGGAACCTGAGATGGGAACCGGTGGCAGGTACCTGAGATGAAACCTGCTTGGAACTGATGGTGGGTACTTGGGATGGAACCTGCTTGGAACCAAGGGCGGGTGCCCGAGAGGGAACCTGCTTGGAAGTGAGGGCGGGTACCCAGGATGGAACTTGGACTAAAAAAATATCAGTAAAGAATTGGGGGTTTATCATAATTTTACATAAAAAAAATTAAAATAAGATTAAGACACGTGTGTGGACTGTTGAGGGCCCCACTTGATTGGTGTAATTAAATAATAAATATTATATATATATTTTAAAATATATTATAATATTAAAGTTTTGGTTAATTAAGTATATAATTAAAATTATGATCCAATTAAAAGTGTTTTAATGTTCAAAATAATTATTTTTGAATAAAATAGTATATTTGATTGAATAATATTTAGTTATTTACTTCAATTATCAAGTTCTAACTTCTAATTATATCTATAGTAAATTAGAAATTAATTAATTATACATGATAAAGTGATAAACATTACTACATTAATACATTACTTATTATTTAATTAAATGATTATAAATTTAATTAATTATAGAATTACATTATAGTATGACAACTCATGTCTTATGAGTTATGGTAAGTGTTTAATTAAAGATTCATAAAACATATTAATATTAATATTTTATTTTATTTTTTTGTCACAAATTCATAATTAATGTTAATTTAACTTATGGAAAATTCAAAGACATCATTTTTACTTTAGTAATTATGGTATTATATAAATTATTTTTGTCTATTCACAAGTAATTCAGAATGAATCAAAGCTGAACGAGTATCAAAGATAAATGATTAGTCGTTGATTTATTGAAATACAAAAATCAAAACCACCTACTAATTGTGTATGAAACTTTTTCAGAAATAATTTAATTATTAGTAATTATATTTTATTTCTCTATTAAAAAAATATATTATAATATTAAAGTTTTGAGGGCATGTGATCAAAACTTAAGAGAATTAAAATAGATTAGATTAATTAATTGTATAATTTGAATTATAATTCAATTAAAAGTGTTTTAATGTTATTAAAAGAATTATTTTTGAATAAAATATTATATTTAATTGAATAATATTTAGTTATTTACTTCAATTATCAAGTTCTATATAGTAAATCCCTAATTAATTAATTATATATAATAAATTGATAAATATTAATACATTACTTAATTAAATGATTAAAATTTAATTAATTATAAAATTATATTATAGTATGATAACTTATGCCTCATGAGTAGACTTGGCAAAATGGGGGGTAGGTTGGGTATGGGTAAGATCCAAACAAGTACGAGTGCAAAACGGGTCGATCTAAACGGGTCCAAAATATTGGATTTGCACCCTCCGTTATGCAGGTATGGATGGACCCGTATTTTTTATTCCAATTTTCAGTTCTTGCAATGACAACCCCACAATTTTTGTAGTTTTGGCTCCGTATGATTGGCTTTTGGGAATACTATTATTAGTATTTCTAAAAAGGTTAAACAGTAAAATGTCATTATTCTCAAAATATTATTCTATATTTTTTAATTTCTTTTAAATCTCCTAAATTTGTTAATTTAACTAAACACCCCTAAATATTTTTTTTAGAAATTGCAAAAACACTCCGGCCACCCTCCGGCGGTGGTGGCCGACTGTCCGTATTTAATGGGTGGGTTAAAGGTGTTTTTATTAACTCTTAATATTTTATTATAGGGATATTTAGTAAATAAACAAACATAGGGAATGTTTTTGTTAATTTTTAAATCTTACATCGTAATACCCACTCAATTTAACTTTTTTTAAAATATTATTCTAAAAACCATGAGAATAATGAACCTGAGCCTTTATTATTTTACAGTTACACCTCTACAATTAATAACTCCAAATTCAATTAAATTCACCACAAAAGTTCACAACAACTAAATTTCTCATCAATTTAATAACATATATCAACAGTAAACCTATGAAGACACGCGCCTGGATGTGAAGAGAAAAATAAAGAAAAAACGGAGAAGAGAAAGGCTTATACAAAGAAGCTACGAAGCTAAGAAAAAACATAAAGAAAAAGAAGCTACGGAGCGAAGAAAAAAATAAAGAAAAGACGGAAAAAGAGAAAGGGAGGGTGAGGAATCATGCGGATCAACCGTGAGACACGCGCCTGGATGTGAGACGGGGTGTGAAATATTGAAGGAACTGAATGCCTCATTGGCAGAGACCTGTGCTAAGTACTAACATTACTATTTTCCCACGCATCGCATAGAGAATCGCATTCAAAGTCAAAGAGTGCGTGAGTTAATAAACATTAAACAAATTCTGACTCTCTGTACACAAGCTGACCACAACTATCCCAACTTCGCCAATACCCACTCGCCACATCATCGACTCACATTACTTTAAAGGCATGGCAAAAAACTATTGGCTGAGTTAAAGCAAGGCTGTGTAGAGGTGTACAGTAAGTGATCACCATGTTGTCAAATTAGCTTCTAAAATCTAAATTAATGGAAGCAGACTGCGAAAAAGGGTCACACAGAGAAGCAGAAAAACCCAAACTTCAAAGAAGAAATGATGAAGAGATGGAAAAATAATTAATAATAATAATAAATGGGTCAAGGATACTTGAAAGGGAGGGATTTGACCAGACATTTTCATTTTTAATTTGAGGCTAGAGCTGGGTATTTGGGACCGGGTCCAAAAGCCCAATTCTAAAATCTGGTCCTAGGTCCGATCCTCTCAAGGACAGAATCTAGGAGGCCTGATCCTAAAATAGGACCAGGCCTAAGGAAGAAGGTCTGTGTCCTCTACTAAGCCCTCCTCCAAGGCCCGAGCTTGGGATCGGTCTCAATCTGAGCCCAAAAAAATTTGTATTTTTTCAATGTAGTATTCTATCAAATTACATAAAACCCCCTGTTAATTAAATAGATATAAATTACGAGGGCTAAAATAAAATTTTACAAAATTTATTTAAAAAAAAATCTTCCAGGTCTAAAAAATTTATAGATTTTACCCCTAAAAAAATACTAAAAACCCCCTATAAAATTTTTTTTGCCCCCAAAATAAAAAAAAAAATTGAGGAGAGAAAATGAAATTGTCCAAGGTCCATTGGACCGGTCCTGGGCCCATGGGACTAGTCCCGACCAGGCCTAAGGCCTGGTCCGAGTCCTGGTTTTTCTCATGGGCCTGGGACCAGTCCCAAATGGGCCCAGGCCTGGGCCCGCAAGGGACCGGTCCCTTGCCCAGCTCTATTTGAGGCAGAAGGAGACAAAACCAGTATCAAAAGCTGCTTAATTGTGCTTTAAACAATCTAATTCATATTAATAACACTTCCTCTAATTCATATTCATAACACTTTCTTCAAGAGTAATACTATGCTTACTTACAATCTTACTAAAAAATATAACGGCATAGTACAGGTACCATACGCATAGTACCCGTACTATGTCGTTATCAGGATAATAAGATGGTTAATAAGATTGTGAGTAAGCATAGTTTTATTGAATGCTACTAATACAATGAGAGAGTTCAGATAAAAATAAAATAAAAAAGCAGCAAAAACACGTGAATATGTATGACCTTTTGTATGCTTTATGATTTTTATAAGAGTGATGCTATGGGTACTAACGGATGGGTACTAATCTGTGCACTAACTAAAGCATAGTACCCGTACTATGCGTATAGTACCCGTACTATGCTTTAGTTAGTACACAGATTAGTACCCATTCGTTAGTACCCAAAGTATTATTCTTTTTATAAACTATGGTCCCATATATGC